ACTGACTTCTTTCTGAACAGCGACCGATGAGACGATGACTGTCGTATTGATGCCTCCGCGAAAATTGGGGAAGTTGGTTTTGAGCAAAAAACCATGAATTGATCGTTCAATCTTCAACTGCATTGACACTCCCCGGCAAAAAGGCATCCAACCCCTTTTGTCCATCACGCCCAATACACGTTGACTTGGATGCCATTGCGAGAAACTAGGTCACACGGACAGAGCTGAAATGGAAAACAAACAGAAAAGCCAACACACCACAAGCATACTCACAGCACAATCTCACACATCAATGACGACCTGCGCCTTCCAGTTAAAGGTGTCCTCTTGACATCTTGCAACACAATCGCCACTTGCTAGAATGACTCTTGCAGAATGCAACGTGACCATAGCACCACCTCATGATACTCCACGCACATCGTCTTATCTACTCACTACCAATTACCACTGCAATCGCTTGTCACTCATTCTGCCTCAGTTCTAGTAGCGGTGACGCATGCGAGCCTCAGTCGTTTACACTCTTTCTCCCCGGCGTGTCGGACCGCAGCTAACAATTATCTCCGTGTGCATTTCATTCTCAGCAATAGCCTAGCCTCCCCGGCGTATACGACCCATCTGCTGTCCTTAACATCAATCAATTCATTCATGGATGTAGAAGACTCGAAACAACTTCAGAAGTAATCACGACGAAAATTTTAACAAAATTATGCAATAATAACAATGTACGAAAACAACGAGTAAACACAATGAATCCAAAATCACAAATTGATATGACACACCACACGTTTATACAAATAGTACAAACAAACTCGCCGATCATGTCTTAGTGGAATTCCTTTGAAGAATTGCAGGACTTACACCAGTACGCCTACAACCCTTCTCAGGTTGACGATTGTAATTTGTGGAATGTCCGGACACAAACAGAATTACCAACAGCTAGATGACAGATGATATCAATTCAGTATATACAACATGAACATATGTACAAAATCACACACCAAGCACATTGGACTGCTCATTGGTGCGCTACCCTTTGAAGAATTGTAGGACTTACAGCAGTACGCCTACAACCCTTCTCAGGTTGACGCCCTAGGTTGGAAAATCGTCGCAGAGTTCATTTGCTAACTTCCTTCTATGAGCTATATCCTCAAATCTGAACGGCAACACGCTCATGTCATTGTATCGTAGATTATAGATGACGAAAAAACATACGACGTATCAGGTCAACCAAGCGTAGGCACGGAGTAATTTACACCAAAGATAATAACATTCAAATAGTAACTTGAAACTAGAAATGCCTTTATTCGTGCAAGTCAATTTAACAATTACTCTCTCGTTTACACTTGGCTTATCCTCACTAAACTGACCATTGATATTCGTCCTTTCAAACGAACTGATACTAGCATAGTCATTGCACAAGATACTTGAGTTGATGGGTGTCTGTTTCATTTTGGATGACAACACCAACGACAACTGATTGATATCAGTTGATGAAGTTAGCGGTGGATCAGAAGCTGTTGTTGCTCGGCTTTCAGATAATTCTCTAACTGCAATATTACTACCACTGCTGTCTTTTACTATCAGCTCAGCTTTAGCACTATCATCTGATGATAGGTGGGCTACATGCTGATCAATTAAACTGACGGTCTGACAAGTATACACGCCTGCTGCAACAGCATTTATTTGTACTTCACCTTTGAGCTGTACAGAACCCTTATTTAACTTAGCAGTAGTAGGCACTCCCCTCATTTCATCATGATCGACCAGAGACGAATCTGCACTATCATGATCATTATCACAAATATTCAATTTACCATCATCTATCTGGTCGATTTCATCAATTTCAAACTCTTTAATAACAGCGGTAGATAATTTGGGTTCTTCCTCACAAATCCCTAAACATTTATACCTTCCCTCTGACTAGTAATACCTTGTAAACTTGTGGAGGCAGAACTGCACTCTGAAGCAATAACTTTCTTCTGTGACACTCCATTCAACAATGGCTTACCAGTTGCAACTACAGACTTCTTGACCAAACCGTTTTCGTCACACAATTCGGAGTCAGGCCTGGAGTTTACATTTAGCTTATCACTGAACTTGCTCACTGGTTCACAGTTCACCTTTTTATGCACCTCTTGCAAACGTGTAAAACACAACCGTCTTTGTCTTGCATCTTGTAACTTATCTGTTGAGGATGTACTACGAAACCTGTTACACTCACTAGATCTATATGCATTACTATACATCATGGAGCCTTCTCGATATCCACCTCTCTGAGGCCTATTCGTCATCAATGATTGCGTTTTTCCCTCAGACTGCTCTATTCTAGGGGTGAGATTCAATATACTGGCAAACTTGCTCATAGATTGATTGGCATTATCTTTTACCAGTTTCAGGATATCATCAAATTTTGGCTCAATACCCTCATCCTCCATACGGGAGCTTATCTTCACCCACTTCCTTTGCAGTCGAGTAGGTAGGCGTCTTGCTATTACTTCTAGTATAAAACTCGAGTTGAGGTCACTCATGCAATTCATCGAAATCAATGCATTCTTGTAAATTAGCAAATTATCTAAAAACTCAGTGAGTGCCTGGGAGTCATCCTGTAATTGACCACCATTACCCTTAACAGCCTCGAATAATTTCCCTGCAATCATCGAAGGTCTTCCAAACCTTTGACGTAATATGCTCATAGCCTCGTAGTAGCCCTCTTTTAGCTTCATAAACTTACAGCACTGTATAGCTCTTGCAGCAATTCCAGTGCAATATCTCATCAAATATATCAATTTCAATTCATCACTTAATAGAAAACTACTCAGCATGATCTCAAACTCCTTTACAAATTGTAAATAATCAGCCGGGTTTCCATCGAAACACCGTGGTTCAAATTTAGGGAGTTTGATGTTCCTATTATCCCTGAACGGCGAAACAGTAACATCAACCATGTCATGCTTAACATCAGACACATCGTTACAATTAACAGACAAGTCACCATGACTTACTTTCCTGTTTGCATCCAAGACACTCTGTCCCTTCTTTGACCCAGGCATTGTTGAACTTGACCCAATTCCAAAAACGTTCCAGATATTGCTTGTTCAAAGAGGACTTGACCGGCACCAGGATAGATGAACGGTAACTATCCAGAATCGTGCCAACTGTCCAAAACCGTTTAAAAACGGACGTTGTACCGTCAGAAACTGTCAGCCGCGTCTCGTAAACCGTTATTGCCCAGCTCTTGCTACGCTCGGGCTCACGCTGTTCCTTGAAGTTTCTCAGAAACGCTTAGTAATAACGGACGAAAAAACCAAAACACCAATTGGTGACTCGAGGATTCTTTATTGTTACACCAACATATAAACAATGTTACAACTAACGTCTGTGAACAAATATTACAATAATAAATCACAATATTACTTCTGACGGTTGTCTACTGACTTCTTTCTGAACAGCGACCGATGAGACGATGACTGTCGTATTGATGCCTCCGCGAAAATTGGGGAAGTTGGTTTTGAGCAAAAAACCATGAATTGATCGTTCAATCTTCAACTACATTGACATAAGTCTACTCTGATCGAAAGTGCGGTGTGGGTTACAATATGACGCGTTACTCTTATCGTATACCTGGGCCTTTATTTGATCCTATTACTAACAGCAATTTCCGTATCAGCCAGGAGCTTAAGCCCGAATACTTTGGGGTAGGTTAGGCGAGCGTCCGGCCCCTTATTCCCAGTGAAAAGAGAATAATCATTTTCCTGCTGCTTGTTAGGTAGTTAAGGCCTGCTGCACTCTTGCCTGCTCCGATGATTCTGTGGCAAAATGACACAGAACTACCGCATTGATACGCTTTGCTAAGACTCAGTTTTCCTGAGTGAGCTCTGTCTCTTTAATTTCTGGTCTTATATTGACCAAAAATTCTCAGATTTTTGGGCTTTACTCTACGCTAGAATGGTTTGCCTGCTTTCGAAATCTCTTCTTCTGCAATAGTAGATTAGCAATGCGTGCTAACTTCTCGGGAGAAGATTCTTAATCTTGTTCATACAATGTCTGTTACATATACCCAGGTGGTTCCCCATCCAGCCTTCTTTCAGCATCTGGCCGTCATCAAAAACGGTTGTAGGTGACTGAAGAACTGAGTCAGGACTCCGTCTTCCATGTTCTCTCACTGAAGCAACCATGGTCTGCAGTGATTTTTAGACATAGATAGGCGTCTTATCACCTCATGATTAGGCACCGTATATAGTTGCTCGAATGGAAAGTGTTCTTCCACCTACTTGCTAACCTGGCAATAATAACTTACCTCTATACCTGGTAGTTTGAGACATCATACTATAACCGAATTGAAGAAGTATTAAAATAATTGCCAAAATAACCACCCAACAACTTTTATTGTCACAGAAAACTAATTTCGATTTTGCGCGTTTGTTTTTGAAAGCACAGTGGTAGCCAAGTTAAGTGGAGGAAGCTACTAAAACACTTAGAAATACACCCGTGATGCACAGAGCGTGAAGAAGACAGAAATCATAAATGGTTACTCGTCTGGTCCTCCCAATTTTGCTTAGTAAACAACTGCCCTTGAGGGCAACAGCCTTCTTTGTTGAACAGACTCTACAGTGTTTCAGAAGCTGAATAGTCAAATGACTCGCTTCGTAACCGGAATACTTTGGTTCCATTCAAAGTGCTGTTATGGATGAAGAAGAAACAGCTGTCAAGGAATTCTTGATTTTCAGTGCTTCCCTAGTTGGAGTCACTTCGTGATTCAAACTGAAACCGACCAAATTTCAGCAAGCTAATACTCGGAAGTCCGGAATACCGTATTGAAATGACAGCCTTTTATATTTGTCGAGATGGTCTCAATAGCTTTCAGAGCAAAAGAATTCCTAAGAATGTTATTTCTGTTCCAAAACGATTTGTTTATAAAGTACGAAAACACTCCATGGTTTTGTTATAACGCATCAGTGTTACTTTTCAATAACACCCACTTTTACAAAACTGTTTTTTTTATAACGATGTTGTTACGGTTTTACCGTAGTGTAGTTGAATGGTAAGTTATGCACATATTTTATATTATTTACAGTCTTACTGGAGACAATACCACTGCAGGATGTTTTTCTGTCTTTGGTGCATATCTGATACATCTCACCTACGGATATCTGTATTCATTAAGTAAGTATATCTACAGTCGGTCTTTCTTTCTTCACACTAGCAAACATGGTGCCATATATAATGGGATATTTAAAAACTTACAGAGAGCCAACGATTTCGATACAGACTTCCGTATGGTTTTCAGGAATATCTTTGCCTTATTTGGACTCTGTATGCCAGTTGGAGGTGTTTTGTCGTGTAGGATTGGATATCGACCAGTTGTAGCTGTCAGCTGCTTTTTGCTGAGGTACGTTGACCAACTTCAGATGCCCTTATATGCTAACAACTTCGTTGTTATACTCACTGTAATAATATAACTCTCTTGTAACTCCATCTAAATTATTAGATTTTTTGTTTTCGCTTAACCAGTGGAAGCATGGTATTAGATTGAAGATTAACATTCATTCGGGTTATATTCAACTGTCCTCGATGCTATTTAAACAGTGTCTGTTCATCAAATTATCCCAAAACTCATGAGTTCATTAAGAAAGTAGCCATGTGTTAGCTTTCATCCAAGAAAAAATAACTCGTTTCTGCAATTTCAGGATACTTAATGACTTTATATTCGGAGAAAAATTAGTATTTTGGTAATTATTGTTACTAATATCTGGCTTTCTGTGCACTGTAGATGATTAACAGGTAGAAAAGCTAGTTCTAGTCACGGTAGCGTCATAGTCATAACATATCACATACTGTGAATCATATATAACCTAATTTTCATACCACTACCCTCGGAGTCTACTAAAGCCACTGTAAACGAGTGACGTGGTGGACTTCTCTAAAGCTTACTAAAGATTAGTCATCGTTTCCTAACTATCATGAAGTGAGTACATAGAAATCACTTTGTTTAGTGATTGCCCATAAAATTGATATTTGATACTTGATTTTAAATTGCTGCTTTTCGTAATTAAACGCAGTTTGAACATTTTAATTTTTCTATGCACTGTAGGCTTTTTACAACAGGATGCAGTATGCATTAGATATCGGTTTAGATGCCTATGAGTATGTTCTGGCCTTTGTTTCAGTTGTCTGAGTAGATCTCAAATCTAAGATAATAATTAATTCACGGTTCAAGTAAAGAGGTAAATGCAATATCGGCCAAGTTAAACTTTAAGCACCAATAACTATCATTGGAGGGCAGCCACACAAATGACCTTGAAACGCTCAGTGAGAAACTTAGTGAAACCTGGTAAATAATATCGTAATTATGAAAAAAAGCTGAATCAAGTGTTATGTTATCAAATGGAAGGTCTGGCAAGCTCCAGGTTAGGTTTGAGAAAGATTACGTTAAGGTGTAGGCTGGGGACAGGTTAGCGTTAGGTTAACCTAATGCCGGTGACATTAGGGTTGGTTCGAGTTAGATCAGGGCTAGGTTAAGGAAAGATTAAGGTTATTGTTAGGGTTAGAAGACCTAAATACTTACACGCATAGGATGTGGTTGAATTACTCTGTTTAGACTCCAATCTAAAGCTATGAAGTATTTTTGTCACACTTCAGAGAAGGGTATCCTGTGTAACAGTTTCATGCCTTTTAATTCATTATTTTCATGAATAAATGTATTTTATGCGCAGAAATCGCCTTTATTATGTGGTTGGTGCGTTCAAGTTGATTTGGTCGTTGGTACTTACTGGTATCTAAAGTTAAACTTTTCCGCGATATCTTATGCTCCTGCTATTAGATGTTTCCTGAAACGTCTATAGTATAGCTGAGGTGTTTGAAATAAGAACCATTTGGTAGCACAAAGTCTTTCAACCGATGTGAGGCTATGCGCAAAACAGTTGGTCTATTAATTTTACTACTGACAAATGGCTTACTTACTGTTGTTGGAGTTCTGAAATTTTCTATGTATAGAATTTATTCTTATTTCTCTCAAACTAATCACATTAAGAGCTTCCAATACTGTACTACCTTTAAGTAGATACAGACGTCTCGTGAAGTGTGTTGATGTCTCTGAGCATTAGTAACATTCCTACATACCATTTGATCAGCACTTTCTATCTGGACATGAAACAAGATCTTTCCAAGACGCATCTGTCGATTGCGTGCAAGATTATCTTTAAAATTATTCAATCAATCTAGCAGTTAAACATTACTTTGCAGTAGAGTTGTGTCTCTTTTCGAGACAGAATTCAGTTTCTAGTGGCTACTAAGGGTTTCTTGTGCTAAATAAAGGTTTTGCACAAAAAGCTATATAACTTAGAGTGAATCCTCCTCGTTTTTGCTTCTGAAGGGCTTTTCAAATCTTCTAGGAGAGGTATATTTTTTCATGAATGTTTTAAAATCACACAGTAGAATAAGGTATTTTAATATGTGCTATGAGAGCTGCTAATATACTTGTGTCTGTCTGAAGTGCATTCTGGAACTTTGAGCCCAATATTCACAAAACAATTAAATTTCTTTAACATCAGAAGGCTCACAAATTGGGCTCTCTGTTTCAAAACAAGTTAAGTACTTTTGGCTGATCATTTTAATGATTTTTTTATCCCTGGTTGAATTTAGAAACAGTTTCATTCCCCTGTTTGAAATAACTATTAGCAAACTGTCAAGTCTGTCATATACAGTCAAGCCACAAGTCATTGTTCTCCTTCAGTTAGTACCATATGGTATCATAACTGCAGACAAAATAAATCTCATTTATTCATCGTATTTCCTTATTCTGAATGAATATGATTTGCTTGAAATTTCTGTGTGTTTGTATTGGTCCCAAGGCCTCACTTCAGGTGTTTTGCTCACTTATTATTATTTCCTTTAATTCCTTGAGGAACATAGGGCTTCAGCCACGAGTCTCCATTGCCAACTTTTCACCCCGCTCCAAGTCTACCCACATGCTTTCATCTCTTCTTCACATGACCTCCTCCAAGTCACCCTTGGACAACCAACTCGCCTCTTCCCTTTCGGGTTCCACTCGAGCAATAGCTTTCTAGTGACGTCACTTGATGGTTTCCTCAGCGTATGGCCAATCCACCTCCGTTTCTTCCTGCCTATTTGTTTCAAACAGGTTCCTGGTTGGTTCGCTCATTGCCAGAGATCCCTGTTGCTGATATTTTCTGGCCCGCCATCTGATCTTGAGTGGTATTGAGCGAAGACAACTGTTAATGAAGGTCTGAAGTTTGTTTGAGATGTTCTTTATGACGCGCTGGCCGAGTCTTTGATCCGTATAGTAGCACTGACTGACTTCACACTGGAGTTGAAAATCCGAATCTTATTTTTGATGCTGAGTGCTGTTGACCTACACACAGACTTGAGAGTAATGAAAGCTTGTCTCACTTTCCTCATCCACGCTGCTGTGATACCCTCGTCAGTTCCGTATGTAGTTAAAACGATGCTTCCCAGGTAGGTGAAGGAGGTTGTTTCTTTCAGGTTCCTCCCATTAATGCTGGCTGATTGTTGTCTGTTGTTGTTGCTGCTGTTGGTGTTGGCCAGGAATCTTCATCACCTCTGTTTTATCTATGTTCACCTGAAGGCCTATCTTCTCTGGATGCTTCTTCTGCCAACTTGTTGCTTTCCACTTGCATATCTTCTAGTTTGTGGGAAATCAGACATATATCATCGGCGAAGTCCAGATCCTCCAAGTTCTCCTTTTGTGTGAGTCCACTTTATGCCTGTTTCCTCATTGCCCGTTGTCTGTCTCATTATCCAATCTGCTGCAACCAGGAAGATAATTGGCGATAGTAGATAGCCTTGCCTCACTCCCGTCCTCAATTCAAAGGCTTCCGTAAGTTTCCCGTTGTGGATTACTTGACATTTGTTCACTTAACCTGCTTGTTATGCGTAGGTCAACGTAAAATTGGTCCCCCTCGCTAAATATGCCATAGCTTTTAGTTTTGAGTGAAGTCAATTCATTGTTAAGAATCAAATGAAGACCACTGGTATTTTTTATTAATTAACTCTTTGGTCGGTAATACAGGCGAAACATTAATTATTGTACTATTACAAATTTATATTATTTTAAATAAATAGGAAGGATTTTTTGACTGAAACTTGTATGTGACTATAAAGATCTATCTTCCTGAGAGAAGCAAACATTCTCAAATCTTTCTTGTATCTAATGATCATCGTATTGTCAGCCATTTTTTACCTAAAATATGTTTAGCAACTACAGTCCAGAAATAACTACCTCATGGTTCTCTAGGATAATATGTTTCAGTGTTTCACTTTTCTGTAATTATAATTATAGAGTGGTTGGTTTGAAGGTACTAAACTTGTTTGAATGAAATTTCATTCAATTATTTTACTCATAAACTGTAGGAATATCCGTTGAACATATATTAAATTTAAACATGGGATGTCTATCAAACATGATGTGTCTTATACACCTTTTTCTTTCCCACTGTTAACTTTAAGGTTTACTAGTATTTCAGTTGACTTAAGTATTTCAGATCTGAGAGGCATCCAACTATTGTATGAAGTACTGCTTGATTTAATGTTTAGAACGTTTTCAGACGTTTAAACAAAGCAATAAAGCATATAGTTGTAGGGTAAACTAGCTCTTTTTCTATTTCACAGCTTTTCTTCACCTACTAGCAGCCTAAAATAACAAAAATTATCAAAACTGAAATGTATGATGCCCTTCAAAAATTATTTCAACTCAGATCGCATTTATTAATTCTAAACATAATAATGGAACAAGAGATTTGGATATATGATAGCTATTGAGTGGTTTATGTCTATATGATAAGGTGGGTGTTCATGAAAAAAGGGTCAGAATGAAAACATGTGATAAGCAAAGGCAAAATTAATACATAAACAAATAACTAAGCAAATGCGTATATTGATAATGAGTCCAGCTCAATGGGGAAAAAAACGAAAGCCGAATATTGTGGGGCAACAAATCTAGCAAAAAAGGGGATATCCAATCACTGGGATAATGCAGAATTAATCCTGCTACATTTCTCTATCGAAAAGCTATACTGAAATCGTTTGGTTGCTAGTTAGTTGATTCTGGAAAGTAAAGTAACCACGCTTCTCTTTGAATATCGATTCAGAAGATACGACTGATTTGACCATATGTCCTATATTAGTCAGGCACCTGGTAATTTCAGTTGCGAACCATTTCTCAATTTTCACACAAATACTATTAGGGATATGCCGAGAAAATCTAGTAGACGATGTTCCCTTGGTCCTCCCCAAGTAGGTGTTTTCCCATGCGCCCGGAAATTGGTAGACGCAGTTAGATTTCACATGAGCGGGATACATATCTGCTTCGTATCACAAAGTAGGAATGTTCTAGAGGTGGGTTATATCACTTTAAATGCATCTCTGGGCATCTTTTCTAATCTTGTTGATGCCGCTTTTCATTTGCATATTGGTAATCCTCAGCTCCTCACCAATTTTGTTTTTTGAACATAAATTACTCGCTTTATTGAACAGTGTTTCGAAAAAAATTCGTTCATAATCTTATGAGCAAATATTTTGATAATTTAGGTTCATATTTATTTTCTATAGACAGTTTTTCAGTGCGTCGTTATTTCTCCGTTTTATACTAAGATTTAGACAGGTGAACTGGTTGTTGCGTTTATAGTTCGTTGTAAAATGAATATGAGAGTGAGCTGCATTGAGTTTTGTAAACATCACCGATGTATGGCCCAGACGACTGCAAAGGACAAATATGTCATCAATATACCTTCAATAATATTTGGTCTTCTTCGTCGCTTATTTGAAATTCATTTTTCCTCAAGATAGGTCACAGACGTGTACGCAAAACAGGGCCGGTAGTAGAACTCGGTTCGCTGGTACAGTTTGTCACTGAAATCGAACTGAAAATTCTTTGTCCATAGAAGGGACAATTGCCCAGGTAGTTTTCAGGATAAGGGAGAAATTCTGGTTGTAGGTATGTGATTATCAACATTTCTTCAATGGATATGTTTGTCGATAGTGAACGAACATTATATGATAGTACGATTTTGTCTGGAATATCTGGTTTCTTCAGCTTTATTCAGAAGTAGTACTAGTTCCTTTGTATACTGCCCCTATTTTATGATTTCATCGAGAAACAATAGGAACTGTAGAGTTGCATAGTTAAATAACCAATATGGTTATGTTAATAAAGAAATAACGTAGGCTCCGTTCAAGTGTTACTTCTTTTATTTCCTTCACATTCCCCAGTGGAGCAAAGGGCTTCAAGCTAGTGGCTTGAAGTTTCTGTAGCAGTGTTCATTTTTACAGGATAGGGTTGCCAGCCTCATGCCCAACCTTTCCTCTTTACCAGCATTATTTCTGGCTTAGCGAGGTAAAGGAGTGAGTCGGCCGGGGATCGAACCCGGACCATGTGCATGGCCGACGAGCGTCCTAACCGCTATGCCACCGACGTAGAAATTCTAGAAGGTGATAATTTAAGGGGCCAACTCTCCATAGTGTTTTCTTTTAGATGTCAGGTGCATGCAAAAGCAAATCGATTCCCAATTTCGTTTCCTCATCCCGTTATGACTGTTGGCGTACTGTGCATGTAGATTATGTGTTTGAAGAAGCCATCCACGAGTCAAAGGACGTTTAACGTTTCTCCATTGTAGATAAAATTTTCTTTTGATAAATCACACAGTGTTATACAGTAATATTAACTGATGACGTTTCGAGCACAAACTATTGCTCATAATCATATCAAGTTACTCACACAACTTTTTCCTTTATTTATATAAATGTTTGGAATTGAATAGACATTTGAATAAAAATCAGTATGGGATAATGTACATTCAGAAATAATAAAACGAGTGTTATTGATCAATTACAATCACATGGGAAATAAGACGAGTGTTTTTATAGTCATAATAAGTAACTTATTAGAATGTTGTGATGTGCTGGAATTGAAATAGAATTTTGAGATTATTTATTATCCTCCTCTGATTTGACTGTCGGTAATAATATCCTCCGTATTTCTGGTATTTGCATTATGTCACTTTTGCTGCCAGTAACTTCACTCCATATTAAACAGACTCAATTATTGTTTGTTTCAATTATTTGTTTTAGTGGTGGTGTTCTGCTAACTTATTTTACAATCCAGAAAGTATATGTCGGAGTCCTTATGACCTATTCTTTTCTGTTTGGAACCGGTGTCGGTCTAGGATTCTCCGTTACTTTGGCTGTTGCTGCAACGGTAAATACCTTGATACAGATTTGATTTCCCCATAAAACATAGTTGTTTAGCCAGTCACGTAACAAATTTAGGTAAAATTTATTTTCACTCATGATTTCAGTACTGGAAGATTAGCATGATGTGGACACTTGTTTGATTTACTAAATGATAACCAGCATACAACAGTCTATGATAAAGAGCATAATTTTATATTCAACGTTTGTTCTAGGAATTTAGAAAATTTTCTGTAACAGTGACAGTTTCAATTCAGTAGTTCTAATTTCTCCTTTTGATTTAATTTAGAAATCTAGAAAGAAAAAATGTTAACTACGGTTCAACTGGTGATAAAAACATAAGATTTTATTTGGATTCTTACTAGGGTTTTAGTTATCACTGAGTAAAACTTATGTATCAGCTCTTAAGAAGTATAATGTTCTAAGATAAAAATACACCTGATCTCAAGATTTATTTATTTAAAAACTAGGCGTTAATTCACTTATTACTGCCTTTTCAGAATTCTCCATGTACTCCAACGAATGAAAGTAACAGTTTTGCGTTTTTTAATAAATGTGATGATGCTTTCATAGCAAATCATACAGAGATTTATTCTCTTTTGTTTTCAGTGGTTTCCTGAACAAAGAGGATTGGTTGTTGGGCTTGTAGTCAGTGGTTACGGAATGGGATCCCTAGTATTCGGTCCTATTCAAACTGCTCTTATAAATCCGCATAACGTGCGTGTAAACAATGTGACAAGGTAATTAGACACTGAAATTAAATCATTGTTATCATAATAAACAGCTTATTTGAATGATTTAATACTAATGAATACATTCCCATCATACTTGACCACGCATTGTCACAACAGACTCAACAAATAAGTAATGTATGAGGTTAACAGAGAGAACACGCGTGACAAAGTTTGGAGCACGTTGATCCATGATTTTAAATGTCCCCACACAAAATACTTTGGGTTTATTTGAAGGAAAATCCTACTGCGTCCTATAAGTTACAATCCGTGCAGATTGGAAAGTTGTAAAAGTGAAAGAGAATCATTTTTAGTCTGCGCTTCACTTTCCATAGGTAATTGTAATGAGTTAAAAGAAAATGATGTACTATTTTGCTTCGGTAAATAATGTTCAGTGAAGTGATAACATCTGCGAGTAATAATGCTCCTCTAGTATTCCTTTAAACGTTTATGCGTAAAGTCAAAGTGTAAAAAAGGTTGAAATTTCTAAATAACAGTGAACTAAGCGACATTTCAAAATCCATCCATATAAAGTGGTATTTTATGATAGAAAATTTACAAAGTTGAGTAACTGGAGTATGTAAGTAATACACTGAGACGGAATTTCGTTGTTTACATACTTAACCTTCAAATTCTTATCGTATTTTTATACAAAATCTGGCGGAAATCGACGTAAAGTTCATTTTGAACTTTCACTATAAGTTACTGATCATGATATTATTCATTTGATTATAATCTGGAGAAAGTAAAGCTGATAAAAAAGACTCACAACTGATCAGAACTTATTCACCTCCAAGACAGACTCTGTTTATCTTGATGGACAGCAACGATCATAAATTTTATTTTGAACCGCAGGAAATTTAACCTGTTGACATTCAGTAATAAGCGATACGGACCATTTAGGATTCTTGGGTCTAGTGGTTGAATGTGGGAGTGCTCTTAATGTTTTACCACTGACGGTGTGATGGGTGCACACTGATGAACATTTCAAAACTATGAAGAAAATTATGTCAGTGCTTCCTGGTAATAAATGCTTCTGTTACTGATGATTATTCGATGCATAACCCACTATAAAAAAACGGATCCGGTAACCAACTTCAAGAATGCTTCTGATGTAACTATAAATTTTATCGCTACATTTTTTATTGATATGGAAAGTATGTGTCATAAGAAATGTTGCGAAATAAATTCAAACTGGACACTGTCAGCAGAATGCTATTAAGAGAGGTAAAATTAAAATGAAATAAACGTTCTCTTAATTGATGTAGGAGTGGCGTAAATATCTCTGTATAGTTCTGTGACTGAAAACAACAACTACTTTATATTGTGTGTTGTATACAACTTGATAGATTGTTCAGGATCTTTGTGAGTGTTAAATGTAGTTAATTATCATTTACACCACAACTATAACAAATGAATTTAAAATTACAGATTTGCTCTGAGTTGTTTTTTATAATATTGTGTTTTTAGACAATTCGACAACAAGGAAATGCTTGATCGATTACCTGATGCGTTTCTTATCCTGGGAGGTATCCTTCTCGCCACACAGATAATTGGTTTTATATTTCTTCGTCCAAAGCCCAAGATAGAAGCCGTAAGTTTTATGCGATGCATAGTTTTTTTAACTTTATATTTATCTAACTAAAAAGATGAGTGGACCTCATCTCATTACTCCCTGATACATCTAATATTTTCTGGATAATAATGTCACTCCAACAAACAAAAACAGTTTTGACTTGCAGTACAACACTTTAGATTATGAATTATCAGTCGGAAAAATCTGTTGGAAATATTGTTCAACATTAACTGAATATGACAAGGAAATGCATTTGTTTCAAAGTTCTATAATTTCTTGTTTGTAAGATATGATTTCCGTTCCTCCTAATCCGCTCAGTGAAATTTATATGACTGTAGTCATAGTCAGAGTAATTTATTACCGCTTCACATTTAGTAAGAAAGCAGTCCTTCATTTGAAAAATTATACCTTGTTATAGCTTTCACAATACACAAAGTAATCAAATGCCTGTCATCTAGTTGTGAGTTGCACTTAATAATCAGGTATGAGTGTAACTATTTGTATCAGGGAATTCAAATAAAACTTGGATTAGTAAATTTCAAAAACTCTTCATCTGCATGTCAGTACAATAAATAATTCCTGATAAGGAAGGAAGTTCATGAAAGTGAATTCCTTAGTAGCCAAACTGCAATGTGAAACCTGAAACCTTTGAAGAGTATTAGCATCCTATACATAGCCACTTATCTAAGATGTTTATATTTAAAGTATGAAAAGTATTCATAGGATATAAATTAAAAAAAGTATAGATCAGCTAATGATATTCTATTCGTAACTTCTCGTCAAAGCCGTACATGTTCTGAGAGCTAGTGGAAATGGTTATGCAGGTAAATTATTATTATTATCAGTTAGTAACAAAACATATGGAGTAATTACATGCCAGTGAAAATGGTGAATAAATTATGAAAAGTAACGTAATTTGGAAACATTAGGTGATGGATACTGCCCAGAAATGATTACTAAAGAAGCTACAGGTACCTGAAAACATGAAGGAAAATAATGAGAACAGATAAAGTGGATGATCGTGGATATATACATAATAATAATTTTTTAATTTTTCCTTCACGTTCCCAATGTAGCATAGGGCTTCAAGCTAGTGGCTTGAAGTTTCTGTAGCAGTGTTCATTTTTACAGGATAGGGTTGCTAGCCCCATGCCCAACCTTTCCTCTTTACCAGCATTATTTCTGGCTTAGCGAGGTAAAGGAGTGAGTCGGCCGGGGATCGAACCCCGGACCATGTGCATGGTCGGCGAGTGTTCTTACCGTTGAAAAAGTGGATGATCATGGATATATATATATTATATATATCCTGGATATTTCACACTCGCAATTTTAAAACACATTTGATCAAACTTATATGGGCTAGTATTGGTAATACTCTCAATTGTTTTAATATGGAAGCCCAGTACCTCCTAGTTTTTAATAGTATTGTATTTCTGTTAAATTTCAACTAATAGCATCTAAAAAATTATTTCTGTGCAATCCATGATACGAATTTCACATATAGGTAATACATATTTACAATATTTCTTTATTGGTGCATAGTTTGAAGAAGAATGGGTAACACAAGCTGACTTTAATTGCAAATACAGCCTTTAGTCAGTTAAGTAAATAACTTATACCTTTAGGTTCCAGGACAGAAATGCCAATATATCCACAATAGTTTGTAACTGAAAGTAACCAATTTGACACCTTGAAAATACATTCTAGTATGTAAATTGCACTTAAGGGTATTGCTTCAACATGCCTTAAGGGATCAATATATGCTTACCTAACCTGATTTTGATATAGGAAAGGTGACAACATCCTGTCAATATTACTACTATTTTAAGATTGATAATCGAAGCGTTTCTGTAGTAATGAAACATATAGTTCTCTTTCACTGGATTTATTCATGCAATCAATGCAGGTGGAGTGAAGCTACGGTGACTATTGTGTAGTCAATATATTTTAACCAGTTCTGTGTACTTCAGTTCAAACGTCTACAATACGATTTCTGAACACTTTGGGTAACCTTCTGTTTCTTTTCCACTATTTGTAGTTTTCAGGTGGTATGGTTAAGACTGTTTTATTGTTGAACATCCAGTTCAAGCAAGTATAACTTTGTAAAGGTAAAAGAAGAAAGATTTGGTAAAGGAACGCCTCATTGAACTTTGATGTCTCCATAAAGCGAAATTATGTACACCTTGTCTTTGACACACCATTTGCACAGATCTTCTGCGTTGTATTATTTCTGGCCTTCATACTGTGTTTCTTTGTGTTCCTTTCACGCCTTCTATGTACCTGCTCAACTCTGTATCGTTTGCCCTCTCCGCCATAATCTATCTCCCTGTTGTTTGATGTTTTTTATACCGATGAACATCTTTTATATAGTACTGATGAATCTTATCAATAGCACACGTCACAACTTCTCAATAACGTACAATACTGATTAAAAATGTTTTTCACTTTTATGTAGCATATAAACTGTTGAACACTTTACACTGAATGCGATTAACTGCCCTAAGTATGTTTGACAAACTTTCAGCAGATGAAAGTTTCTTTCGTTTTCATGAAATAAAAATACAGTTAGAAACAAACTTATTCAACAAATAACAAAGGGCTATTTCAGGCAGTATATTGTCTAACTGGCGAAATCCAAATTTTGAAGATTGTACGCTTCACGTTATAAAATCTGTATTCATATTGTGCTTGAAGTACTTGATTGTTTAAGCTGCCTCAAGTGAGTTGTCTGTCGAAGACTGTGATTGTTTTTCCTTCGGGATGCTGCCATCTGCTGCATATCATTCCATGTTGAACGATAATTTGGCAACTAACTAGTATAGTTGCGTGTCTGAATGATGTCAGTAACACAAACTCAGTCAGCCAGTTAAAACAAGAATAAATCTTTTCGTACATAACTTATAAAATAACTCGACTATTAGGGCCTAAACTAAACTCACTAAACTACTGAAAATTACTTTTAGTTGAGGAAATTACAACATCGCTTCTATTTATTCTCAGCATCAGTAAGATTTGGTTGTTTAGATGCAGGCTGTGTTAATTTAAATTTGTTTTTGGGAATACTTACCTTTTTCATCTTCCTAAACAAAAGTTATATTGAATTTTTTGATCACCTTAACTCTTTTTTGTATATTTCTTATATTAAGCGTCTCACAATGTTTACTCAGCCCCTTACGTATGAAAATCTAAGCAAAATTTGTAAGAAATGCAGTCATGAACAACAGTTTACTTGTCAGTAAACATGGCTGCTGATGGTAAGTTAAGAAACTAAGAAATACGGCAGTTCTGATTACACACTAACGTCATTATGTAAACAGTTTCTAGCTATTTGGTCTTTTATGTGTATCCTTACGTAGGCTAAATAACTAGTTAAACATGAGAGATTTACGTGAACGTTGATTGCAAACATTTTGTTGATGCATTCCATACAGGTGGAAGATACAAAAGAAACTGCAAGTGAGAAAAGTTCTGCAAAGTATGAAACCGAAGATGATGTAAGTTCACTGAAGTATTTTAGGTGATGTCGTATTTCTGCTCTATGGAATGAAAAGAGTTTAACAAATTCTTCTATAAAGCTCTATATATTCGTAGAGTAAACTTTGGTGGTAAAAATTAGAATTAAAAGAAATTTTTTGATCAAAGTTCAGTGAATTCAGTAATGCAATAACTTTGAATGAACGCAAAGTGAACTGCAACAGCTAGTAGTAATCCAAAGACTCTATTAAATTTAATTGTTTAAAATTTTCATTGTATACACAGTTGTTTGTGCACTTTATTACCAGAAAAGGAGTTGTTTTGTCGTCAAATTGCCACTTGATGTTGTGTAAACAAGCTAAACAGGACGACTACTTCATGGTGTGTATTCATCTTGTTCTATTCGGTCCATTTAGAGTAAAAACTGCAAGCTCTGGACTACAGAAGCTTCAGAAGTCTTTTCACAGACTGCTTAAAATTTGTGTGATATTCCGTTGGTAAAGTAAGTGAAACTATTTGTTAACCATGGATTGGTACTGAAATTAGCAGACATGATGGGATTCACGTAATCTGTTGGACAGTGAGGTATGGTGATAATAACTGCAAGTTTAAAGATCAAGTCAAAATCATCCCATTTGAATACACAGACAGACATAGCTAGCTAGTCAGAGAATTACTCAAACCTGTCAATATAAACAGTACGCCATATGACGTAGCATATAAATGGCATGAGTGGACATGTAGAGCATCTGGAACCTGATTACTCTCTTTATCTTAATCCGACTGTGTTGTCTTCAATACTATTAACAAATAAAATCATCAAAATAATGATTTCAGCAAGTGACTATGTGAAAATAACACTGAAGTGTGGCATTTCTCGTCAGAATAGTGCATGATATTCAACTTGGCTTAACCGTGGTCTTTGTAAGGAAATTTTTACGACGAAAACAAAAGAGACCTATTTAGTGACGTCCTCAGAAGGAGAATTTCCACCTCTTTAGGAAGAACTTTCCCTGCGGCAACACTAAGAATAGTGTTCTCCAGTCGCCCGCTGATCTGCAGAAACCCAAAGGACAAGATTCCGCACATGACCACTTCTATGTGTATATATCAGTTCACCTGTTGCTGTGGAGCCAGGTACATCGATCGTTCAACGCGCATCCTGTCTAAAAGGGTAAAAGAACACTATCCAGCGTGGCTACAGAAAGGAAATAATGGCCATATAAGGAGTGCAATAATCGAACATCTCGTCAATACTGGTCATTCCATCTCAACGAACGCCTCCTTCAAAGTAATCTACAAAGTGAAGAACAACCTTCCAAAGACAGTACGATTCCGTCTTCTTTGCATCGCAGAAGCCCTAGCCATCCAGTTGGAGGAACCAGAACTATGCATACAAAAGAAAATTATCCAACCACTTTTACTCGCATGGTAACTACTCCTTTGATTTGACCTAACTTTTCTTTGTTTGTTTGATTTGACCTTACTTCTGTTTGTATGCTTATTTTTCTAACTTAAAACCCTTGTGTAATTCTGTATATTATTTTGTTTCCATGTACACCCTTTGAGCACAACTCATTCATCAAACTATTCATGCCATTACGTAACTCTTATTTAACAATCATTTATGACAACTCATCACTTTTGTTGCTATCCTCTTATCAACATCCAATTCATCTGAACCTACTAATTGTATTTTCGTTTGACAAATTTAATGTATACACACACACACAAAATAACCATATATATTTGCGATTGTACAGCTATGAAAATGAATTCGCCGAAAAGAGACTCTTCGCTGAACTACTTTTCTTCTGTCTACTAATGTTCGAATGGGAATTATTCATGAAAACAATTATTAAAAATTTGTAATTTGAATGGAAGGCATTTCTGTAACACTCAAGTTCTGAAAAGCGTTACCAATATTTAAACTGATGTGAAATCTAAAGTTTCTTAGCTAGCTCTAGTTAGCCTTACATTTCATACAATACGCTTGAATACTGTTATATCTGGTTAAATTAGTAATGAATGTGTCATACTATCCTATTGTGACCGATGATATTCTAATTGTCGTGGACTGGATTATGTGTCAGACTGTGGGGGGCGAGGAGACACTGATAAGAAGACTCTAGAAGATCTGAATTTCGTAGATGATTTGTCTAAGGTCACACAAACATGAAGAATTACAGGTAAAAAGCAACGAACTGGCTGAAGAACCAGCCAGTGAAGGCAGGACTGCAAGTAAGCAGAGAGAAGACGCAGGTGATGAAGATAACCAACCACTACCAACAGGAACCATAACCAACACCAATCACCATCAACGAGGGAGAATGACAGAGGTTACTTCATTCAATTATCTAGGAAGCATCATTTCAACTACAGGCCAGTGGGACGGATGAAGATGTCAAAGGCAGCCAGAATCGGAGAGTCAAAACACGCCTTCATCAACCTGAAACCAGTTTGGAAATCTTCTGCACTCAGACGCATAAAGAACAGGATTTGAATATTCAACACAAATATGAAGTCAGTCAGTGCTGCTATACGGGTGAGAAACTTGACCACCGTGTAACGAAAAGATTTCCAACAGGCGTCTGCAAACTTTTATCCACAGCTGCCTTCTCTGGCCACACAATGAAGATCAAATGGACATAAAGAATTTTTTTTTATTTTCCTGCACGTTCCCAGTGGAACATAGGGCTCCAAGCTAGAAGCTTGAAGTTTCTGTAGCAGTAAGCATGGTTATGGTTAACCGCTCAGCACAGGCCAGTTCCTCTATACCGAATGGGAATGGTGACGCTTTCGCGCACCCTCTCAATCCGGTTGCCTTCATTGGCCACACAATGAAGATCAAATGGACATAAAGAATTAGTAACAAGCAACTCATCGAAGAAAACAAACAAAAACCGACTGCTCAACAAATATGTAGGTGAAAGTAGAGATGAATCGGATATATGTTGAGGAGGCTGTCGAATGACATCGCTTGCCATATCACGGCTGGGGTGGAATCCGAATGGGAAGCAACGAGGCGATTGTCGGTGAGAGGATGACATGGAGGAGATCGAGCAACGAGGAGATGGGTAATCGTGGATCCAGCTGAAGAGGAGGGCAGAAAGTAAAACGAAGTGGAGATGTGTTGTTGAATCCCTAAGTTCCACTCGGAACCCAAGAGAATAATAATAATAGTCCTTAAACACCTTTGCCTAGAAATATACATTTTGGAGATAAACGTGTACTAGATTATGCTCTAGACTTTTGTGTTATTTCAAGAAATTTAAGCAAAATAAGTGAAACCATTCTACAAGAGACAGTAAAACAGAACACAAGTGGCGAAGTAACAGATGTATCCACCTTCCGTGAAAAGTGATGATTACCCTTGTGTCGATATCTAAGTTATTCAGTATTCTCCATCAAACAGTTAATGTAAACATAAATAAGTAGACAAACAAGCCTAATCTTCATCAAGTTCATAAAAATAGCCACTATTCCTGAATGCTATACCAAATTAATATAAAACCAATTTCTAAATAATACATATACTTAAATATGTATAAATATATATAGTATCAAGTACATAGTTGGTAGTATTAGGACGATTCAGTTAACAAGAAACTCTTCTTGGTCTTGGTTGCAAGTTTATTTCCACTCATTATCACACCAAATGTGCAGTATGTTCTCTACTGATTGACTCTTCCTGACAGCTAATATCAGACTATAGGACTATATGGTTCTCAACATTGTTAACCTCATTGGTTTTACGGTCACTGTGAACGTCTGGTTGAAAGATGTTGGTTAATACTTTTAATATGAAGCAGCTAAACTGATCATCATTTCAAAGGTGATTCGGACAAGTATGAAATATGGACTGTGGTGTTTACAGTTTTTAGTGAAAGTTATAGCAGTAGAGAAATTTAGGCTGAAACTACAAAATATTACAATTTCCTCTTTTTCGCTCATTTTGTTGCCTCAGGAAGTACAAATATACGGTTGTTATCCAGAGTAAGTTCTTTTTAAATTTTAGTTTTTACAGCTTTTTCTATGCTCATAGGTTTTATTTCTTTTCATTAAAGTTAACCAGATATAATCATAAATGCAGGATTCATACGAGTAAAATCTTATGTAGTCAGTACATGAAGGTAATTTGAACTTTTAAGTACTAGTTTAAGAGGGATTTTGTTTGATTGATTGAAGGATTTCATTATGAGCTGATATCATTTAGAGAATCATTGGAAATGGTGAGATTAAGAATTTTACTTGGACATAACAATATGTAATAAGGTAATAACCTACCAATTACTTTTCTGTATAGCTAGAAACAGAGATGAATAATACATAAAGATAGTACGACTTTGTTTTAACTTGTTGGTAGTAATCGTAGTGTTTGCAAAGAGCACGTTTTCACTGTCATTTAACGTCCTACAAGTTTTTAGACATATGTGTTTAACTAAATAATATTTAGCTTTACAACCAAAAACATTCGCATAGCTGTTCACTCAGGCTTTTCTAAGCAGTGACATAATGAATTATTCTTAAATGCTGGACTGTTAGAGATCTGCTAGATTTCAAAAAGGATTTCTTCGAGAATGGAATTTCACAAAACAAAACACTGAAAATCAGGGCAGGTATTATGTACTCCTTTGGAAGGCTTCAAAATCGTGCCTCCCTATATGACCTCACTAAGGATGGATCTCAGTACCTTAGGTTTAGAGGTGAAGACATTACTATTTATCCACTGCTCTGAAATCCAATGACCTACGAATTTTAGCTTTAATTATTTAACTAACTGGTGCCGCTGCCGTTGATCAATAATAGTTTGTTAAATTTAATCATATAAATGAAAGCAGAGTGACTGCCGTTTTGTGAGCGTGAACTAAGGAAATACTTAATTTGAAATCACATCTAATAGTTATTTTTCTTGCATTTAAAGGTGAGTGAAAAAATATATACCACCATTACATCTTGCATAAAACTAGCAGTAAAGTTATGCCCACAAATATGACCGAATTTAACAAATACGTAGTATTCAAGTATTGGTTTGTAGAAATTTGGTTGATTGGTTACAGGATTTCACCATGAGCTGACATCAGTTAGAGAACCATTGGAAGACCTGGGAGTACTGGGCAGCTGTTTCGTCCTTGTTTGGGACTCTTCATTAGTACGCAGATGTTAGAATTCATGGGCCATTGGGTCGGGTCCCAGTGGCTTAGTGGTATAAGAGCTCGCCTTATAACCACAAGGTCCTAGGTTCGAATCCTGGTGGGTGCGTACTGATGAAGAGTCCTAAACTAGGACGAAACAGCTGCCCAGTACTCCCAGGTTTTCCAATGGTTCTCTAACTAATGTCAGCTCATGATGAAATCCTGTAACCAAATACGTAGTAAATCCAATTCACAATTTGCAGTCTACACAGTTCGAGTAGTGAAATTTCTTCCTTCCGAAACCAATGTATTCAAATCAAAATATGTGATCCGCGTGATAGCATAAATGGCAGTCTAGAAAGCAAGCATATTCACATAAAACTATTTACTACTGTTTAACTGAAATGGTTAATTGAACACCTTTCATATCAACCTGATTAAGGTGATCTAAACACCTAGACAAGCGAAATGGCCGTCCGGCATTTGGATCACCTCGATCTGGCTAGCAAGCACTATCCACTGATATGAAAGGTATTCAGTGGACGATTTCAGTTAAACAGTAGTAAAGAGTCTTATGCAAACATGTTGTAGTATATTTTAATTTTAGAACTTTTAATGATTTCCAATTCTGTAATGTAGCCCAATTTGGGGCATAACATCATCTATATTTCCAGTTTCTTGTTTGTAGTGGTCATTTCTTATTTTTATTCAGTCACCCACAATTAGAGTTTCAGTGTGTTAATGTATATCAAAACTAATCACATTCTTCCATATTAATTGTTTATTAGATGTATCACACAGTGAAACAGTATTATTTACTGGATGACGATAATAACAATAATAATGATAATAATAATGGCAATAATAATAGTGATAATAATAATATTAATGACGACACCAACAATAAGGAATCTAAATCATCAACAGTAATTCCATACAAGGAAGGAACCTCGGAAGCCTTACGCAGAATTCTTTACGCAAATTCTCTGATAAACAAACTAATATGGAATTACTTACTACCAAAGTGCCTAAGTTTTACACATATACTAATCACATTCTGCTTTGATCTTGGGCGTTCATGCAACTAGCTGGAGTTTCAGTTAGTGGAGAATACAAATTGTCTAGAGACTACATATTTTGCAGCTATAATTTGCTAAGACGAAATGAAAAATTATCATTTCAGATAGTTTGTAGTAAATACCAGGCTTGCAGGTAAATATCATGTATACTGGATAAATGAAAGACGGCTACAGCTTCCTTTTTCGTATCTGCTTACCAATAACAATATAGAAATTCCTTGTGAAAATATTTATCTAGTTTACATTATTCATTTTAAGATGTGCTGTTTGTCTTTAATATTTGTTATCTTTCCTCTTACAACTGATATCCTTCCAACATTTTTAGGAATTTTCAGCTCAAGTGAATTACGAATCTTTTGTGGGCACAAAACACTTGAATTTGGTTTCTGTGATTGAGTTTGAATTCTTTCATACTCACATGAATATCAAAATTTCACGTTTCCTAAAATCAGTTGTAGTCAGAGCCCCGTTGTGAATAACATTAATTTCTTAAGTTAATCATCTAAATCTGTGCTAATTAAACCTATTTTAATTTTAAATTTAGCACTTCAAATCCATTTTATATATTGTTATACAATTTAAAGCTCACTAGACGTTACACCAGCCCAACTTTTTCGCCATATTGATTTTTACCTGCTATGGTTCATTGAATTGTGCAACAGTGTAATGCTGACAGTCGTAACGTCTGCTTATAAAGTGAGTTGGCTGACGATTTAAACGTAAACACAACATCTGTTATACTTTACATTCTGCCAAAAACAATTTTGTATTATAGCGACCATATATCAGGCAGTTGAAATTTTCATGGGTGATTGGAATAGAAATGAAAATCCGTGTCACAGCATGGGTTGAAATCAGCGGCCTACTAATACTAATACCAGCCCGGTACTCTACCACCTGTGTACAATCATCCCTAAAAAGAATCGTTCCGTTAGGCAAAGCTGGTAGGCGGATTCATAATACTGCTACTACCGTTTAAGAATTTACAAACTTTTGCTGTCAGAACTTCCTGTTTCGAAGACCTGAGATATCGATTTTTAAGTGCATCCATCAAATTTATTCTGAACATAAATCACTTTGTTTTGTTCTACTCTTAAGAAGATGTGCGAATTGACGTCTAGTTTTCTTTTCGCAGTGCTATACCCTCATCTAAACACAGATTATCCCCAGAAAAGTCTTTCACTTTAAATACCTTCAGAACTCTACGTAAATGAAGTATAATTATATTTCAATAGTTCACACACAATGATAAGTTTTGTTATTGGTAATATTTCGAGCAAAATTACTGCCCGTGTTCACACCACTGTTGGAATTGTTTCGTTCCTTTTTTCATTATATGTTGTTTTGTTAAGTATTACTGCGGTTTCATTATGTTTTATTACCAATAACAAAACTTATCATTGTGTGTGGACTATTAAAATATAATTATACTTTATTTGATCTAATCCACAATGCTCAAACTTTTTACTGATATTAATTCTACGTAAATGCGAACTCAATTTTTTTAAATATTTCTAGTGAATTTCCATGGTTAGCGAAATATGTGACACATGTTAAATAGAAAACACATAACATGTAACACTTTGTCATTTAAATTAATCCATAATCGGTCTAAGTTCCCGTGGAGGGTTTTTAACACGGGAAGGGATAAAAATGATATTCAAATTCACTAACTTACTTAGAATCAGGTTATGTTGTTCAAAAGATTTTTGCTGCCCATTAAACTTAATAATTTACTTTATATAATGCCATGCAATAAATTTGATTTGAGGCACATAGATTAATTGCGAACATAGCAAAACTACTAAGATAATAAATCTAGAAAAGTGCTCGGCGATAGCACCTTATATTTTGACACGCAATAGGATGGCAAGCTGTAACAGTTCTAAGCTGTAATTAGGAATGTCATAGACGGAAATCCAGCAAAGGATGATAATGGAAAGTCAATCACCAAAGAGGTGGAGCAAAGAAAACACTGGGCTAAAAACTTCAAAAGACTCCTAAATCGTCTGCCACCTACAACGCGCCTAACATTACCAACGACGGAAGCAGAACTACCAGTGAACATTGACCCCCCGACAAAATCAGAAGTCCTGAATGCAATCAAGATGCTAAAAGCTGGGAAAGCAGCAGGACCAAATGGAATCGCAGCAGAAGCTTTGAAAATAGACCCAGAGGCAATGGAGACGCACAGCTGAAACCCTATGTTCCTCAAGGAATGTAAGATATAATGACAATAATAATAGACGGAAATTGATGATCTAGGCTTGGTTTATAGCGAAGAGTAAAAATACTTGCGACAGGGATGATCCAATGTCTCTCCAGATGTTGTGAAAATTCTAATACGACAAGTGAAAGAGAATAACTAGTTTGCAGTTCTGTGGAGTTATAGTAATGTGACTGTAAAGAATAAATTGTTTGCAACACCATTTGGTATAAAATGCAGCCTCACTATGTGCTTTGTGGAATTAACAAACTCATACGGAATAGCATACTGCCACAGTGTGCAAGTTTTACATTGATATATCCAAGGTATGAAGAGTCTGTGAAATCACTTTCACTTGATAAGTCTCTAGAGAGAGCAGTAGCGCGGCACATATTTTGAAGGTTTTACATTTATGAATTCAAGTATTTAGGGAATATTTAATCAAGAGCAAATTAGTTACTCTGACGCTAGTTAACTGCTTAAAGCTATTGATGAGTAATGATTTTATATTTCTGAATACCATAAACCTTAATTTCAAGATATTTTAGTTTTAAACTGGATTTATTATCGCTTAGTTTCCTTTCGGTTAGTGGAAGTAACACCTGTTACCATAAAATGACTTATCTGTTAATTCCGCGCATTTTAAAAAAGTAATTTTATAAATAATGTGTCTAACCATCACTCGTAAGTTTAAAAAGATAAGTGTACCAGGTTCATGAAAATGTCTACAGTGTCCTCTATTATCTTCTGAGGAAGACGATTTTTATACCGTAAGCACTTTATAACTTTGAGCAGAACCTTTGTAAAATGATTTCAAATTGTATTAAATGAATCTGCCTCTCCTGTTGAATTTTTGTGCTGATAGAGACAGAAATACACGGTTTTCTATTTCCAAAAACAATAAAATTGAGCAATTACATTGTACACTGACCCTGATTTGTTTTCATAATTACTGAGTCGCTTTCTTTGATTTCAGTTGTTCGGTCAAACCTTTATCAGTGATGACCAATATTTGACGGCAGCAGTTACAGTAGCCGCTGTTTTCAACGCTCTTGGTCGTATTTTGTGGGGATCAGCTGTAGATCGGTTTTCGTATAAGGTAGCTTACATTATGCATAAACCACTACAATACTAATATATACCAACATGTTACCTATTTTAATTATTTTTGTGATAATGCTTTCCTATTATTCCCTTTTAACGGAGGTGAGGTGTAAATATTAATCAGAAAGCCTCACAGCTTTATATAAGAAGTAATTGCCTGTTTGAGTATGACTAACGCAACATATAATGTAATTTTCTACATTTAAACATATGGATGAGAAATTTAAGGCCTCTCATTTATTCCTAAAAATTTACAAGCTTTATTTCGTGATAGATCTATTATGCCTGTAACACATTCCAAGGTGTTCTTAGGACTTGGCGCTTCTTTCAGAGTCAACATATCAAGAGTTCAGAAAAAAACATCCTTCTAAACACATTTTTCATTATCTTTTCATGTCTCCTCATTTCAAGGACTAAATTTAAAAGCCCAGAAGTTAAGGGGGGCGAACTACTACATAGCGCACATCTCCCTTAATAAATAGCGAGGTTTTACGTCTGAGCCACAGTCAATGCAAGTCGCAAATGCTAAATGAGGTTATGCTAAAAACTGCTCTTAAGATATTGTCCAGAAGGACGACGAAAGCGTTACAATTATATGAACTAGTTGAGAGATCACAATTAACACAATATCATCCACCTGAGCTAAAAATCTTCTCCATTACTGCAAAATCAATACTTGAATATTCAATAACCTGTTGAATACCAAGTCATAAGTGAGGTGAGAGAAATACAAACAGCAAAATGGCGTGTGTTAGGAGGATTTATTTCTATATAACACACATGTAACTAATTGAGTATATAACCAACTAGGAGCCGGTGCCAATAACATGTCAAGCATACTTAGGTTTTTGCTCAGTGTTTATGAGTCAGTATTTTGTCAGCATTTTAAATTAAATAAATATATCGTATACATACTTAAGGTCAACGACACTTTCCCCTTGTAATCGGTTTTGAGATATCGACAGCGGTCATATATATATGAGATGGATGTATCCATTAGATTTTCATGTTATGCACCGCAACATATGTTTCAAATATACAAACTCAATGAAAGGAATTTATTTTGCCAAACCTACTTGCTGGATATTTCAGACTAGTTACACTGTCTCATGAAGCAATATTTAAAGCATTCTTTTGATCAATTTTCTGATTAAAATGTAGTATGAGTGGTACGAATATGCACCTAGCATTAACCTATCACATAATGTGTTAAAATAACCAACAGGTGTCATTTAGCAAAATAGTTTGAGCTTTGTCTACTAAAATTATTGTATTGTGAGTGGGATATAAAGCTTCAGCAGCAGATCTCCATCGTATACTCTTCTGTGCTATCACTTTTAAATAACCTCATAGCTGTCCACAAGCTTTCATTTTCTCCTCATATGAACTACGGAATGTTCTCTACGGATGCTAAACCCAGAATGTTAATTGTTTGTCCACTAAAATCCTACTTATTTTATTGTGAAATTTAGACTGGTAATTTGTAGGATAATTTTAGTTTTTAATTATTTGATTTTGTAAGCTCAAACTGCCTACACTCCAGAAATAATAACTTAGAAGGTTATTTTAACAATTGTTGACCAGAATCCAAGAATAGAGTTCAGATAAGTATTATAACAGTACAGTCAAGTCTTTAGATATTTAACATAATGTCTGTTAGGTGTTAACAATCTAAAGCTGTCATTAGTAATTAATTCAAGTATTATTATTTTTTACTACTTTTTCGTAATTTAGATTCCTCTCCTCATAATCAGTTTGACATGGGCAATCCTTCTCTTATCTTTCCCCTTCATTAGTACAGCAAGTGAATTTACGGCAAAAGCACTTTTTTGCTTTTATGGTATTGGAAATTTCCTTTTCCTGAGTAGTATATCAACAATTGCACCTGCAACTGTGGGATCAATGTTTGGATGCAAACATATGGCTGTAAATTATGGGATATTAGCCTCCGCACGAGTAAGTTATGCCATTAATGATAAGATATATGACTTTACTGAGCGAAATTCTGGGACAACATAGTTATTATTTTCAACTAATTCTTACAATTTACAACTAAGCAACAAAGCAACATAGTGTTACTTCACTTAGTGGTGTTATGATATTGTAAACTTATTCAAGAGTGTTAAAGATATATTGATTAAGGTGCAGTCAATAAGCTGACCACATATCACGAATAGTCTTCCAATTCATAGAAGTTCAGGTGAATAATACTAATATTTAAACGTCTTGTAATCCCACATATTTATTTCTTTTACTTAAATCAAGTGACGAGATTTATTTCGGGAAGGATTAATTTACCTAATGGTGAGGTTTGAACAGATGACAATGGGATCGAACACTGTCAGGCACAAACTACTAAAATAGTTTTACACTAGAAGGACAAAGTTGTCTAGTGCTGTATGGCTTTCAAAGGTTATCTAACCAACTTTGGCTACTAAATATGCCTTAAATTAAATTCATTTGTTTTGATTAAGTCAGATTAATCTATGGTATGCATTACTTCAGTGAGTATTTTGGCCATTTAAGCACTGAGAATTACGAATGGTTATTGTACACATAAAATGGCATCAGTTCTCGCGCACTGCATTTATTATACTAGGAAACCTGTAGTATAGCATTGTGCTGATTAAGACTGGCAACAAATTTTTTTAGAATATTTAGTTTACCTTCAAACAATGATGTCGTTAGCCCTAGAATTTTCTTTGCTTAACGTGCTTCAAATACGTTCACAGAACTCAAAAACAGTGATAGTTATAAACGATTAGGTGTATCCGGTGAGTTAGTTCAGTAACAACTCTAAATGTAGGGAGTTACCTATGCTAAAGCATTTTTGAAGGATACTTTGCCAATGACAACAAATACTGCACTCAAAACAGCAATCTACTTTAGTTTGGGGTTCTCGTTTAATCTAGTTTTGTAGGTGACCGTATCCGTCCTATCAATCAACTACATTGTTAAACTAGGACAAGGATCTGATTGACTAAGCTTTATATTTTTGATTCTAATGAGGTGTAATAAATCGATTGGGAATTTTGATCTGCTCGTGGTATATTTCCACTGAGATTAATTCGTTTATGCTTATCAGCTGACCTATTTGTTATATAAAGTAAATAAATAAATGTTATGTAAATAATCCATAATCTTCAAACTAGTGGAAGAAATGGGTTTACATATTCGTTCTTAATTCATTGGAATATTTCTGACTCATCGGTACTTATGACTGGAAGTCATATTCCAGGTTATTCAAAGTGCTCACGTTAAACATCCTAACTACTCTTCGGTATTTCATAAAGTTGTTTCAAGCTAAACGAACGTTGCGATAACACTGAAGAAGCATAAATTATTGCATAGCATTACTTTGAAATAAGGCTACACGAAAACCGAATTCTGAGTAAATACTGATATATCGAAAGTTGCATCATGTATAAATGTGTTTCTGGGATGTTTATACAGCCATAAATCCACTGTTTAGTTTAGTCTGTTTGTTTTTATCAGTTAGGTTGTGAATCTTTCTTTCCTCTTCAGTGAGAGAGTTTCACATTTTATTTCATTAGAGCCTAATGATCCTAATTCGTCCAATCGATATTTAATTGCATTTAATTGTTTTTTCTTCGTTGAAAATAGTTGATCTTGCCTAGTTGGATATTTCGAGTATGATTTCAACATCCTTGTTATTTATTATATTCCTGGATTAGAATTTAAATTGTTCAGTCTCATGTTTTACGTCATTTGATTTGATAATAGTTCTGTGGAGATTTTTCTCTTAAAAAAACTCTACTAAACTGTTATACTGCAGCTTTCACCTTGTTATTCGCAACCAGAATGAGTACAAGAAGATATTTAGAAGTGATTTTATTTTTAATGCATCGATTGCAAAAATCAAAATCATTCGTAACTTCTGCTTTTGTTTATGACATTCGTGAATGCTTCTTGATTAGTTTCCCAACAGGAAGGCGGTAGGTATAACTAATGTAATAGTAGAATTCGGGCACCATAATAGAATATTATTCCATACTAGGTAATTCTTTGACAAAATGCGCAATGAAACAGTATTGGTGACCAATACCGGATCGTTAAGTGTTATGCCGAATAAATTTATCTAATATAGCAAGAGTTGCACAGACGGAAAATCATGACACGTTAATAATTAGGTAGTCTAATGAATGCTCAATTCGAGATGAAAAAATCGCTTTTTTGCTTGCTCTTTCGACACCAGTGAAACGCCTTGAAATGTATTGAATACATCTATGCATCCTAATGACGAAGACCAACACTGCCTAAACCTATATGTACATCTTTTTGTGAAATTATATGAGAAGTTTTGAAATATATATATATATATATATATATATATATATATTATTTACATGGCACATTGCGAAGCAGTTTACATTCTCGCGAATGCTTGCTTTTTCTATACTGCATAACATTTCTACTATTCACTGTTTTCATTTGATAAACTGTGATATGATACACTTCAAATGAGGAAACAACAGCTCTGTTGTTTTCAACGATTCATGTATAACAGACAATATAAATATTACAGCAAGAGAGATAAAAAATACTTAAACTGAGTATTATTCTGGTTTGCGTAATTACTGATAACACTTAACAATTCTTTGTATAGGCGTAAAAATATATTTTAGGCACCAACCTACTTCTTTGTTGTTTACAAGATTACTTACGTTTATTCCTACCGTCTGTTTTTTACCAAGACAATTGGATGTCCTCTTTGCGCATTCGTTCTTACTTACATCATAACAAAAGATCCATATTTGCTTCAATTTACGGTATGTGGGTGTTCAAGCTTAATAGGTAAGACATTTATCCCAAGTGAATATATATATATACTTTTCACAATTAAATGAGAAACTAACTAAAGACTGATTTCTGGCTAGAACACAATCAAGCTTCAACCATTAATGATGTTTTATAGTAAGAGAAAGCAAATACAATTTTTCTAATTTATCTTGGCAGTTTCCTAAATTTCCTAATCTTTAGATTACGTAAAAAGAAAACAGCAGCAATACTTAGGCGACTTACATGTAAACCAAATATGGCAAATATCATTAATACTATTGTAGTCAAAGTACTTCGGATGCTGCCATCGTAATATTGTTCACAGCCTACGTTTGAGTACGAATGATGTTTACTGTTCATGCTCACTTTGATTACACTGGTGATTTTTTTACTAAATGACCTTTCCACGTGACTCGTTGAGTTCTGAGTCAGAAAATGTCATTTTTACCTTTCTGAAAGAATTCAATGCAGTGCCTTTAAAGTGAGGTCTTTCACTCCATTGATTACCTACACGGATGTTTCTTAAGATGCTGTAATTTCCTTAACTCTTTTTCTCTCTTTTAAATAATCCACTTTATTCTTCTTTACATAATTTCAGTATGTTGATGCTTTAACAGTTATTGCTTCACTTGATTATTCCTGAGGTCATTCTATTATAAATAATTTTCTGTATAGACTGGTAAATTGTGTTTGTCAGATGGCAATAAACCGATTCCCTGCAATAACAATAATACGGGCTCCATACACTGTAGAATTGTCAGCTTTTCGTAAAGTATTGTACGTATTATTCTTTTCACTCTACATAGTAATGAAAAACTAAATACAGAACGTTATGATATTCCAAATATTGGTAATAATTTATGTGAATTCAAAAATGAATTACAAATTGACATGAATAGTGACAACAATGTATTAACTGTATAGAGAGAATCGAAGGAGCCGTTTATTTACGGTTTCGCAGGAAGTTACTATTTTCGTGACCAACACTTTCTTCACCACACAAGATGAGTGCCGATTAAAGTATCTTTGAGTTCTTATACTAAGTTGTACTGTCATAAAGTCTCTTTTAATCGCCTCTCCTGATAAGTTGGAAGAAAGTTGTGTAAAAAAGATCCCATAGTCTGACATGACGATTTTTGTCAGTGTTTTTCATGAGTTCAAGAGTCTGTTTTCAACCATATTAACAAGTTGGCCTAGTAGCATACCATTCCTCCTTTAAACGGCTTACAATGTCCTTTGAAGTGTAACAAAATCTGTTTAAGTAGCACAGGAGGGATTGAGGGGTAAACGAAGAAGAGTAGGCAAAATGCATAAGTTAACAAGCTGAAAAAGTTGAGCTAGACTGTTTTAACTTCTGTTCATAGATGAGAAGGCACATTTTTCTGAGATTCGACAGCATTTGAGACAGCCAGGAAAGATAAGGAAAGAGACTTATCCAGGATATTTAGCACTCAATTTTAATTTTAGTTTCGGGTGTTAGCAAGACACGTGTATTACTTCAAATCTATGGGTTTTGTAAAATCGGTAGTAATGGTGTACAGAATAGGTCAGATGATAACTGTCTCGTTATTGGCCTTTCTTCATATCTTTGCTGGTGGTCGCTTGTCTTTTATAATGATAGTAAGAATAATTTTGTTGCTGTTTTGATATTCTTGTAAGGTGCGCCAAGTGGATCATATTCAACGAGAAAGAGTCTATTGTAGAAACAAGGGACACAAACACTTTAAAATTAATTAATAGACTTAGTTTACTCGAATCCATCTATTTCAGCTGTTTTCTCCTTGAATTATTTCAATAATATATTTCTTTGACTTACAGCCTTTTTCCTCACCCTGTGGATTGATGACCACAAGATACCTCAACGGCTAAACTGTTGTTCACCTTGCAGTAGAACATGTCAAACTTTACGAATTCAAAGAAGCTAATTACGCTCCAAGCAATATAACAACTTTTAGAAGGTTAAATTACAACCATACTGCTTTCATGATTATATGAAATACTGCATAATTATATCATTTCCTTATTTATCACCATTGTTTATTTATACACGAATACATGAGTTGATACGATCCTAACATATTTAAAGAATAACTTATCCTTCTTCAGATTCTTTTGAATATACTTTGATCAATAAAGCTTGTTATCGGTAATCAACTTTTTAACTTGCGACTACCGTAGTGGTGCATTTGGCGGGATATTATTATGCACAGTGCGTAAATTTGTTAAATACTCTAGTAAGTCAGGCTGGATGCTACAACTTAGTTTGAATTTTCCTGAAGGTAAATAAAAGCTTTGTTTGAATGCAATGTATTCATAAGGCCTTCACGTACATAAACAAAAGCATATCACAGTGGACAATCAGCTGGTCTGTATAAGAGTCAAAAATCATTCGACTCTGAAACTCGTAACTCGTCAGATAACAGGGAGTGGATTGAAGTTGCGTTTTAAAATGGTTTGCCTTAGACTACATAAATTTCTTCTATGAATTTCTTTCAGGGCATGGAGTTGATATATCCAACAGTAAACCTTGTAGTATGCAGTCACCAACATATTCCCTGATTTAATTAAAACTCAATAAAGGAAACAAACACACCTTGTCATCAAAAGTCTTGAAATGCTTGATTGGTATTGTAGCGGTAAATAATTCCCCAAAATTATTGACCACAGCAATCACTCATTGGATGCTGACCACCACTGTTTAAGTCGACTTGTTTAGCTGAAGGCTTCCGGTCAAGCATCCCCGCCATTTGGTACCTCGTCGTGTCACGTGCACGATCACTAGCTAGCTAAGCGTTCGTCTAACGGCTTGTTTTGGTTCGCAAATACATCTCTTCGTTTGGACGACCAATTATTGGCTTTTGCTTTGTCTTTGGTACGCGAGAATAAACCAATTAGAAGTTGTTGAACGAGATATCACGTCAAACCCTTAATATCTCTCAACCTTTAAAGTATTTTCATTATTTCATCATCATAGTTCATTATCTTATGACATGTCCCTATTGGCATTTTATCCAGATGAGCGTAAATAAATGCTATACAAGTCACAAAAAGAAAATATCTTTCAATGCGCAGCTTTGATAAATATTATCAGATTATTTCACCAGTTATTGCCGTCATATTGTTACTATAAATAGATTTTACAATAATCTAGTGCCAATTGCAAGCTCATTGGTTGTGTATTGATTACTGATGTCTCCTAGAGTTCAACAGCACATCTCAACTTTGTTCTATTCTCTGCGGTCCTCTTTACCATTACCCACAGTGTCCTTCATGTCATTCTTGGACAACCCAATCGGCCTTTCCCATTTGGGTTCCATTTAAGCCATGGCCTAGCGCACGATGCCGTTGGAGCGGTTAATAATTCCCCAGAATTATTGGCCACAGCATTCATCGCTGAACATTGGATGCTGACCCTCACTGTTTAAGTCAACTTGTTTAGCTGAAGGCTTCCGGTCAAGCATCCACGCCATTCGGTACTTCCTCGTGTCACTTTCGTTCGTTCGTTCGTGCACGATCCCTAGCTAGCTAAGCAATCATCTCGCACTCCGATTTGGTCCCGAAATATATCTCGTAATCTGGACGATCAACTCTTGCGTTTTGCTTTGCCTCTGGTCTATGCGGAGCGAATACTGTAGAAGTTGTTGTTATTAGATCTTGCGTTAGTATACTTCGTACTATCCGTGAACGTCAATATCCTTAGCCTCTAAACGATCAAGCTGTCCCCTCAGCCTATATCCGATCCATCCTCATTTTATTCGACGTATTTGTGAAGCAATAAGTTCTTCATTAGTTTACTCTCGTAGTTTCTTTTGGGTAATTCCTTCTGGCCATTTGATCTCCAGTACGGAGTGAAGGCAGCTGATGACAAATGACTGAAACCTGTTAATAAATGCTATCTGTGACGCACAGGCCAAGCTTCTAGTCATGTAGAAGGAACTTTCTTATTACTGGAGTTGAAAATCTGAAATTTGTTGTCTTTGCTGAGTGCAGAAGATATACCCACTGGTTCCAGAATGATGAAAGTCTGTCTCGCCTTGTGGTCCTACCTGACTTTAACATTCTCATCCATGCTGCCACCTGTAGTTCAGACGATGTTGCCCCAATAAGTAAAGGAAGAGAACTCTTTTAATTTGATGCTTTTTGTTGTTGTGTGGGGGTCTTTGTCAACTTAGGCCACTCTGTGTTCACTTGAAGTTAGTCGCCATCCTCGTCTGTCAACTCGTTGGTCTTCGCCTGTAAATCGATGCGTGTGTGTGAAATTAGATTTAAGTCATCCACGAAGACAAACTCTACAGCCCCGTGTCAGCCTAACGAATTCCCGTATTATTGCTCCACACAACCTGCCACATGGTTCAGTCAAACACAATCAGTGATTTAATTACGATCGACAATACATAGTCTTGTTTTAATCCTGTCTTCACTCGAAAGGATTCGCTAAGACTTCCGTTGTGAATCACTTGACGTGTAGCATCATCATCACGTAGTCGTAAAATGTGGTTGATAAAGATTTGGGATAATCTGTAGTGTCCAAGTAGTTCACAAATTACTTCACGGCCAACAATATCGAAAGCCCATTCAAAATTAGTGAAGTTGAGGTAAAGATTCGACTGCCATTGTTTGCTTTGTTCCATGGTGATGCGTAGAGTTGCGATTCGATCAGCGCATGACTTACCATTCCTGATTCCAGCCGGCTTGTTCCGGGCGGAGTTCCGTATACAGTGCATCCTTTATTCTCTCCAGGATGATGCGACTTAGTGTGGGCGACAGCATGCTCCTGACTCAGTTCTTTTAAAGGCTTTAATCATCCTTCTTTGGTAGTCACACGGATGCTCTCTCTTCCAATTTAAAGGTGTCTTTCCTTCCTTCCAAATCTTTTGAAACAGTGGCGTGAGCACATCTGCTACTGCCTCCAGATCCCTATTCAGTGCTTTCGAAGGAATTGCGTTCAACTGCCTCGCTTTCACCAGTTTCATCGCAATCAAGATTTCTGCTTCGTCCGAAGACTTGTGTCAACTGGCAGTTTGTACCAGCTGACACCAGTATTTCAAGACGAGTGGCAGGTGATGGCCGATCCAAGAGTCTTATGAATTGATCAGCCTATATGTCAATGTCCAGGTCTTACTACACTGGACCTCACGCCGTCGTTGGAAGACTTTCAGAAACTACGCCTAATAACTAACACGAAAAACCAGAACGCAATTCGGTGACTCAAGAACCGTTTATTCTTGCGCCAATACAGAGCCAACCATTAGGTTATTGTACACAAAGTCTAAGAATAAATGTTATAACAATAAATCACGATAATACTTCTGATAGTTTTCTACCTCCAAGGAACAGGGAACGATGAGACATGACTGCTGGATTGATAACCCCCGCGAAAAATATGGAGGAGTTGGGTTTGAGTAAACAACCATGAATTGATCGTTCAATCTTCCACTACACTGACACTCCTCGGCAAAAAGTAATCATCCCTTTTATCTATCACGACCAATACACGTTGACTTGGATGCCATTGCGAGAACCTGGGTCACACGGACAAAGCTGAAATGGAGAACAACAGCAAAACCAAGACACCACAGCACAATCTCACACATCGATGACGACCTACGCCTTCCAGTCAAAGGCATCCTCTTGACATCTTGCAACGCAATCTCCACTTGCTAGAATGACTCTTACAGAATGCAACGTGACCATAGAACCGCCTCATGATACTCCACGCACATCCTCTTATCTACTCAGTACCAGATACCACTGCGATCGCTTGTCACTCATTCTGCCTCAGTTCTAGTAACGGTGACGTATGCATGCCTCAGTCGTCTACAATCTCGCTCCCCGATGTGTGGGACCACAGCCTAAATAGAAACATTCATTCTCGATCATTGATTCCACAGCTAATCATTATCTCCGTGTGCATGTCATTCTCAGCACTAGCCTCCCCAGCGTATACGACCCATCTGTTGTCTTTAACATCAATCACTTAATTCCCAGACGTTGTCAGCCAACTCTCATAAACTGTCAATGTCCAGCTCTTACTACGCTGGACCTCACGCTTTCCCTGGAAAACTTTCAGATACAATTTGTAATAACCAACGGGAAAAAGCCAGAGCACAGATTGGCGACTCGAGAATCCTTTATTCTTACTCCAATATCTAACCAACAATAAGGTTATTATACACAAGGTGCAAGAATAAATGGTATAACAATAAATCACGATAATACTTCTGATAGTTTTCTACCTTTCGACGAACAGCGGACGATGAGAAGATGACTGCTGGATTGATGACTCCCACGAAAAATATGCAGGAGTTGGGTTAGAGCGAACATACATGAGTTGATCGTTCAATCTCCAACTACACTGACAGATGTAGAAGGCTCAAAACAATTTCAGAAGTAAGCACGACAAAATTTTAACAAAATTATGAAAACAACAAAATACAAAAACAACAAGTAAACGTAGTGAATCCAAAAATACCAACTGATATGACACACCACACATGTATACAAACAGTACAAATAACCTCGCCGATCATGTCTTGGTGGAATTCCTTTGAAGAATTGCAGGACTCACACCAATGCGCCTGCAACCCTTCTCAGGTTGACGATTGTAAGTTGTGGAATGTCCGGACACAACCAAGATTAACCAACAATAACTGGAACTCACACAAGTATTAACACAAACATATGTACAATCAACACATCAAAGTGGTGGATTCTGCCTTGACGAACTACCCTTGAAGAACTGTAGGACTTACAGCAGTACGCCCACAACCCTTCTCAGGTTGACGCCCTAGGTTGGAAAATCGTCGCAGAGTTCATTTGCTGATTTCCTTCTATCGGCTATATTCTCAAATCTGAACGGTAACACGCTCATGTCATTGTATCGTAGAATATAGATGACGAACAAACATACGACGTATCTGGTCAACCAAGCGTAGACACAGATTAATTTACACCAAAGATAATAACATTCAAATAGTAACTTGAAACTAGAAATGCCTTTATTCATGCAAGTCAATTTAACAATTACTCTTTCGTTTACACTTGGCTTATTCTCACTAAACTGAGAAATATCTTTCGTCCTTTCAAATGCACCAATACTATCAAAATCATTGCACAAGATACTTGAGTTGATGGGCGTCTTTTCCATTGTGGATGACAACACCAACGACGACTGAGTGACACAAGTTGATGAACTTAGCGGTGGATCAGAAGCTGTTGTTGTTCGGCTTTCAGAAATTTGTCTACCTGCAAGACCACCACCACTTCCGTCATTTA